TGACAAAAATGGAGCTGTACTTGGGTAAGTGTTTAGGTCGACATTTTACAGTTATACAGTCAATATTGTCATTTGAGAATTTGAAGCAGACGTTGTTGGCAGTAGACCACTGAGAATTAATAAAAGTGGCAACACCACCACCTCTCTTCTTCTTCGAGCTGCATCGGTCTTGTCTGTAGATTGTGAACCCACTTAAGGAGACTAAATTGTCGTCATATGAATCATGGAGCCAAGTCTCTTGAAGAGTGATTACACCAGTATTACAATATACATTTGAGTATAATAGAGAATGCAAGTAGTTAATCTTGTTCGATAATGACCTGCAATTTGTGCTCATAATCACAGGAACAGTCATCTGATGCATTGGAGTACACTTTAATGATCTCTGCCAACCTCCATGATGCTTTTTCTTAACGTTATTATATACTCGTAAATCAACGGGTTGAAGACATTTTAAATAATCGCGAGAGTAAGTAATGCGACTTGGATACATAATTGAATGATTAAAACAAAATAAATCCGAGGAAATAGATGCAATATGTAGGATGGAAATTTTGGTAGCCCAAGATTTAAGCAGGCCGCCACTCTATTATTCAGTGTCCACGAAAATCTTATAACAAAATAAATGTTTTCACTTTTTGTTTTTTTCTTAAAAATTTGAATGTTTTTTAAGTCATTTTTGGTTATTTTTCTTCCCATTTTTTTGGTGTATTGGTTTGAACTGGTGTACTACCACTGTATCTTTGTCCTGCAATATCGGTCTGCAAGTCTTCGCTCCGTACTGACGGATCAGATGGCAAGAAACGACTACGAACCAATCAACCAACCAGGAACTTATCACTCAATAAATATGCCGAAGAAAGTATAGATGCAGTGGAAATACGCTGAGGAGACTGTCCAGTGACATCAAATCCCAAGCCATCGAGTTGAACCCGAATGGGAAGTGACAAGTTGGGCATTGGTTCGACGATGACATGCAGGACTCACTGATTTCAAAGTAGAACTTTGCACCGATGTGCAGCAGTTCGACTTGCCACACTTCACTTAGCACACAAAGCAGAGAAGAACGCAAAAAGAAATGAAAAATAGAGACAGTGAACATTGATATGAGACAAAAGGAATAGTAATAACGAAGAACAATATAGTTTCATTGGGTATTATAAGTCACAAGGAGTGGGTGCATCTACGCCAGTCATTGAGAACGATTTTGAGTCATATCACCCACCAATTGTCTCCAGCCTTCATTGGTTTTTACCGTCCCAAGAATCCCAACCAGCAAGTCAGTATACACCTCCCTGCGTGGCTATCTGGCTTAAGCTAACTGTTGTGGATTTCATTGACTGATGTAGCCATGTTTTGGTCTGACCACCGCTGGCTCTTTTCCCAACCTGATCTATCCTATGTCAGCTAACTTTGCCCCTCGAGGAAGATGATTGCTAGGCATGCATGAGTAACACATGTCCTAACAATCTCAGTCGATGTAACTCCACAGTCTCCTTACCTAGCACTCGACCGAAGCCTAACCTCAATATTTCTCACCCTATTATACCACTTAACACAGGAGACAGAATGCATGTCATTTCGTGTACACTTCCAAAAGCACACGAAATGACATGGAGAAGATCGTCAAAGGCAGAAATGAAAACCTATGGACAAGTGTGGCACCAGCTGAAGAGGACTATAGAGAATTAGATGAGGCGAAGATGTACTGTTGAAGCCCTGTGTTTCACTTAGATTCTAAGGGATCAATATTAATAACAGTGCACAATGCATGCAGTCATTTAGATTAAACGCGTGACAAACTATCCTTTTCATAAATAAATGCTCTTACAACACATCTTATCATTTTGTTTCGGAACTCCATGAAGAATTTTAATTCCTAACTAATTTAACACATCTTTCGACTAGTAGTTACCCTACCAGTTTTGCAGACAGCACAAATAATAAATTTATTCAAAGGATTCCTTTCATTTATATCGGGATATTTTTTTTATTTCATCTCTTCTTTAATTTGGTTTGAGTAGATAATTATAAAGCGTTTTCTTTTGTTAGCTTATAGTAGTCCGGGTTACGATTGCCAGCTGGCGCATACCTTTACTTCCCTTAGGAGGCTGTAGGAACGATAATGAGGGAAGGTTGGGTGTGAGGCTAGCAGCCCCGTCCCTGAAAAAGACCAGAATTGCTACTGAAGCCCTATCCCATTCGGAACGCATACGATCAAAGAAAATAGTAAGATTATATGTTATTACTTATTGATAATAAGTAAATGGAAACTGCTCATGTCAAATAGTAGTGATTGCTTCGTAGATGAAAGTGATGTGATTCTCGTTTTGGGGAGGTGTTAATCTCAGTTCGTGGAGCTGATTCAGTTCAAGCCATCTGAAGTATTTGTTGCGAGTGGCTTTCAAATATTTACAGAAATCAGTAGTACACATCATGTTGCCACTAATTATCTTATTGTTGCGATTACTGTTTTTATTCTTTTGGATTACAAGTGGAACATAAGACTTCAACAGGATACATCCGTTTTGTTTTGTTCTCTGTAGTCCTCTTTCGCTGGCCCCTTTATTGCTTATAGACTCTCATCTCCTCACACGGTCGCCTCTATGTCACCCTCAAACCCATGCTCAACTTGTCCTTTCACTCGAGCAATAGTCCGGTTCACGATGTCACCCAACGGTTTCCTCAATGTGTGTATCCAATCCACCCGCATTTCCTTCGGAATATTTATAGGGAGATAAGTTCTTGGTTGGTTCGTTACCAGAGTGCCCTTTTGCTTATCTTTTGCTGACCGGTTAGTCATCTGATTTTCATTGTGGCGCCAACGAAGGCAACTGTTGATAAAAGTCTATTGTAAATGCTTTTCGTGACGCGTTCGCCATGTTTCTGAACCATATTTAAGCGCTGATTCGATATTGGTGTTGAAAATTCAAATCTTGTTCTCTGTGCTGACTGAAAAACATTTTTTAGACCGATTTCAGAATGATGAAGGTCTGTCTTGCCTTTCCGATCCTGGCTAGTTTTGACATCGTCATCCGTGCTGCTGCCTGGTTAGATAAGTGAAGGAACTGGCCTCTTTCAAGTGTTCTCCCTTGATAGTGATTGTTGCTTAGTTGGTTATCTTCATCACCACCTCGGTCTTCTCTATGTTCACCTGGAGTCCTGTCTTTTCGCCTGTAACTTTTCAAATTTGTATGACATTAGAGTAATTATCTTGGTATAAATTATGGAGGCGTCGGTGGCACAGGGGTTAGGACGCCCACCGACGCACTCTACTACCTCACTAAGCCAGTAATAGGACTAGTAAAAAGGAAAGGTTGAGCATGAGGCTGGCCAGCAACCCCATCCCGTAAAAATAATCACCACTGCTACAGAAACTTCAAGCCCTCTAGCTTGAAGGCACCATATGTTCCACTGGGAAGGTAAAGGAAATAAAAAATAAATGAATAAATTTTGGAGGGAATACAAAATTCTGTTACCTTTCAGGGTTATCGTTAATGTAACACTGAAATCACTCTTTATTGTTATTATGAAAGCAGTACACTGTATGTCAGGGAAAGTCGTCCACTTCGTTGCTTACTGAGGCTGGTGTCCCTCAAGGCTCTGTCGTTTCTCCTTTTTTGTTTTCTTTCTTTTTGTTTGATTTGCCTCACTCTGATGAAATGAACTTTGTTAAGTATGTCTATGATCTAACTATTTCAATGTCAGTTAACTCCCAGATAGACTGTACTAAGATGAACAGCTTTCTAACAGGTGTCAGCAAATGGTCTTCGTTTAACAGCTTTAAACTAAATCCTTCCAAATGTCAGATTGATAATTTCAGTTTCTGATGTAAAAGAAAGTTAAGTGATGAAGCTGTTGGTTCCTATGACCCTTGCAAAATTGATGATACTGATATAGAAATTAAGTCTGAAGCTAAGCATCTTGGATTCATTCTTTCTTCTGACCTATCCTGATCTTCCCGTGTCTTAGCGATTTCCGAAAGAATATTTCATCTGACCTTTTACATTGAGAAGTTAAGGTACTCTCGGGTATAAGTCAACCAAACACTCCTCTTACACTTTGTCAACTCGTGAATCTTACCTATTCTTCTGTACTGTTCACTCGTGCTTATTCTCTCCTGGATTGCTTATAAAAAGACTATGTCATACTTCGTAGAACTCTGAAGACTAGCTGCCAGTAGGGGGAGTGGTATCTCATTGGACTATATTGTTGACACAGTCATTGATAGGTACTTGATTTCATGCAACAAATTTGCCACGGGAATCCTGTCAGACTGTGAGCGTCCACTGCAGCACCCAAATCTCCGACCTTGTGTCCCCTCAGGTGAAATAGGAAGTCTTTTCAGAAGACTTTATGCACGTACGTGTAAGTATAAAAATTCCACGATACCAACCACATTTGGCACGTAGTTTTTGTGATGAAAATAGTGTTAGACATGAACTAACTAACTAGCCTTCTTTGCACTACTAAATAAGCCATTTCCTTCTCCACCCTTACAACATCAACCTTTATTGCTATTGTACTTCTTATATTTATAATCCTCTCAATTTTTTGTACTTAATTATTTTTTTCTCATAAGTGTGAACATCGTTTAAGCTGTGTTACCACTGTTAATCTTGTATTTCCCCTCACCGTATTATATCAACAGAAGATTCGATTCAATACTCTATAGTAACATGCTAAAATTTTCAAACTGAATCGACAATTCTGTTTGAAACAAACTCACTGTTATTATTATATTTATTATTCTCATTTTGTACTTTGAATATTTTTGACTTTATATTGTAAATGTGGACAAATTCCTCTGGTTAATTTTGTTTTAATTTTATTTATATTTTGAGTAAATCAGATGCAATAAATATTATGAGAAATGCTGAGAATTCCATTCTGTATTACAAGTACTGTTTTAGGAATATAGTAGATTATTGTTATTACTATTATTTGTATCCCAGTAATTTATATTTTGAACCTACTGATATTTCTGTATACAATTTACTTTTTTAGGTTCTCTTGATTAAACATTCCATTATTTGTCCGTGATGACTTCCTCAACCTTTGGAGTAAGAATGCCTTTTCACAGTTTTGTCTTTCACATGAAAGAGGAAACATTCCTCAGTGTATTTTCATTAGCGACCCTGTATTCTATTGATTAAACACCTTATTATGTCATTATTTAAACTTCGTGATATTTGGTCTACTCAGGTGAATAGAAACAGTGATGAAGATGAATTTTGTTTGAAATTAAGTCCATTGCATAACTTGAATAAATCTCAGTATTTCATTCTTGTTGGAACTTTCTCTGGTATTCTATCGATCTTTCTACCTCGAGCTAGAGAATGTGCCACTGCTGCCGATGGTGATGATTTATTCTGTCAATCACAACACTGTGAAGATTTATGTCTTGAATATCATGTCGAGCATCCTATACTCTCAATTGATTGTGGCCATCTTGTCACAGAATCGGATAGTCAATATCAACAGATTGTAATTCTTCATCCACAAATGCTATCCGTATATACCTTGACAAAATCTGACAGCTCAGCAGCTGATGAAGACACGAAATATCCTGTGACTTTTTCATTCGATTCATGGAAATTAACCAGTCTTATCAATCTCAGAATTGAAAAGCCTTCATTTCATATGTTTATTGGCAAGTTTATTGAACACATTCAAACAGATGTGATTTGTGTACAAATGATTGATGCATCGTTTTGTTTTTATAATTTATCAGGAGTATTATTTAACATTGCCTTGTCAAGTATGCTTATTATACCAGGCCCTGTTGTTTTTCTTCAATCTAACTGCACAATGTTGACAAGTGCTTCAAGAAGCGTGTATTGTTTTAGTTTTACGCCTTCAAGTGTTGATGACACCTCCTACATGTCATGTGATATAAATAATAATAATAATAGTAAAAATATTCTACTGAATTGGTCTATAGTTTTAGAAGAACCAATATTTAGTATGGAAAAGATTGAAGCACCAAGTAATCGTGGGAGGCATTTCCCCATATCTTATATTATTGTTTTGGGCAGAAGACGGATTATTCTACTTTCAGAAACTGGTTGTATATTATTTAGTCGACAAATTGATATTCCGCCGAGGCATTTATGCATATATGGATATGCGGAGGTGGATTCGCTTACTTCTCATGAAAACCCATCAGTTAATAATAGTAATAATAATGTTCGAAGTATACCTACTTGGAAGCCGCGTTTTCTAATCACAACAGAGAAGAATCAATTGCTTGTATTTAAGGTAAGTGAGTCAGTTTTCAAATATTTACTTTTATTAGATTGTGAAAATTCTGTTATTTATTATTAACGGTATTTCCGTGAGTTCCCAGTGGAACATATCTTCACTGTTTGACAGATTCTGGAACATAGACATGCTTACCGTCGGCATCCAACAATCGTCATATTTCTTGAACTAAAGTCAGAACTCGATTCTTTCGATTGAGAGGTACTCTGGTGATGCTTGGCTTTAAAGGGAATGCCGAGAAAATACATTGCATTGATCAAGGCACTCACTCACTGCTCAAACTCATGCAATCAGCCAGGTGAGAGCTTATGGCGAGTTGTCATTTGAAGTGGTGACAGCTAGTGGTGTCCGTCCCCATTTCTGTTCAATTTCATTATAGATACCGTACTAATGGACTTAACCCTGTGTGACTTCAGCTGCTCAGGGATTGACTTGTTACCGTCAGGGAATAATCTCGTTAACTTAGAATACGCAGATGAGATGATACAGTCCTTGTAGGTGAAGACGCTGACAAAATTCAGAGTCTTCTGAATATCTTGAACAGAAAGCGATCTTCTGATGTTTGGCATGCTATCTTCCACTGCCAAATGTAAGATGATGCTACAGGACTGGACTACACTGACTCACTCCTAGCTTAGAAATAGGAAGTGAAGTGGTTGGTGGAGCGTGTTGACCACTTCACTTATTTGGGAAGTTGCATCAGCCAGTGATGACGGATTGACTTCTGACGAGATCTCAATATGGATACAGAAGGCTAGTTTCGTATATGCCATTTTACGCCATCTCTAGCTTAGTAGACTTGATATCCGGCTGGATGTCGACCAAAGGGCATGTGTACTACTCAGCAGTTCGCTCCATCCCCCTTTATGGCTGTGAGCGAGACCTGGCCATTGAGAGTGAAAGATATGAAAAGGCCAGCTAGCTGTCTTTGATCATAGGTGTCTACTTGCATTCTGTCTCGAGTGTGAAGTGGTATAATAGTGTGAGCAATACTGAGGTTAGGCGTCAAGTACTAGATAAGGAGGGGAAATCAGTCGATGAGGCTATGAAGCTATATCGACTGAGATGATTATGACATGTGTTACGTATGCATGCCTAGCCATCGCCTTCCTCAACCGACAGGCAATGTTAGGTGAAATAGGATGGATCAGGTTGGAAAAGAGCCAGTGTTGGTCAAACCAAAATATGGCTTCATCAGTCAATGAAATCCACAACAGCTAGTTTAAGCCAGTCACGTTGAGAAGTGTAGACTTCCTGGCTGGTTGGAGTCCTCCTGACGGTAAACACCAATGAAGGCTGGCGACAATCCCTGATATATGGCTCAAAGTGATCGTCCTCAATGGCTGGCGCAGATGCATTCACTTCTTGTGACTTATATTACCCAATGAAACCATATTCTTCTTCGTTATCACTATTCCTTTTGTCTCATATCTCTGTTTACTGTGTCTGTTTTGCATTTCGTCTACTTTTTTCTCTTGTTTTGTGTGCTACATTGGAGGAGAATGGCGACTTGAACTGCTGCACATCGGTGCATCGCTCAAGTGGAAGGTGAGTGTGAAAGGACAAGTTGAGTATGGGTCTGAGGGTGACATACGGGGGGGAGTTCGTGTGAGGAAATAGGAATCTATAAGCAATAGTATGGGGCTAGCAAAAGAGAGGCCTGTACAGAACTAGACAAAATGAAGATAAGCTGTTGGAGTCCTATTTTCCACTTGTAAATCAAAAGAACAATAACGATAATAGTAATAATAAGATAATTAGTGGCAACGTGATATATACTACTGATTTCTGTGAGTATTTGAAAACCACTCGCAACAAATACTTCAGACGGTTTGAACTGATTCACTTCCATGAGCTGAGATTAACACCGCCTTAAAGGAGAATTACATCACTTTCATCTATTTAGCAATCACTGCTATTAGACGCGAGTAGTTTCCATCTACTTATTATCAATGAGTAATAACATTTCATCTTACTATTTTCTTTAATCCTTTGCGTTCCGAATGGGTCAAGGCTTTAGTGGCAGTGCTAGCCTCACTTTGATATGATTATAAGGAATAAATTTTTCTCAAAACGTCTTAAGTAAATATTACTGTATAACAACACTGTGAGGCTTTATCAAAATAAGTTTTACCCATAATGGAGTCGGTCAGGTATATTTTCATCACTTCCGTTGTTTTGAGAGCTGACTGCAAGCCGAAATTTTCGACAACAATTTACGTCAATTTTCACGTCTAGAATCAAGGTGGTCATGAGGAAAACAATAACAAGGCTTAACAAGGCTTGAGAAAATCAACAGCCATTCACAAAGGGAGTTAACGTGTGGAAATACGATTCACAGATATATGGCTTGATTTTCTGAGAAACGTCCCCAATGAAGTGACAGCGAAAAAACAACCAATCAGAAGAGGTTACTTCTCCACTAATAATAATAATAATAATAATAATAATGTAGATAAAAATCTATAAATACCTTTTGATTATCTAAATAAACGATCTGTTGCCTGGCCCTTGTTTTCTGTGGTCACAGTGTTATCTTTTCATTCTTCACATGTCGTCTTCATCATACTGTTATTTGAATGAATATACAAATTATGGCTTAATTCCACAAATAAAATTTCTATGATTTTATTGTTATACTTGAGTGTTATTTTATGCAGTAAATTTTTATTTTTCCCCACCTTTTAGGGTATAGAGATATTATGGTCTGCATTACTACCGATAGGTTCACTTCACTGTTCTATCCCAATATCTCCGTTGGATTCATTCAAATGTGGCGGAAATACTCTTCCAACAGTAGGCGTAAACTTCCCGCCTGGTTTGATTGTCCTACTCAATTCAAATAGTCGACTTACTCTCTCCTATCTTGGTACAGATCCATCGGAGTCAGTGGTTCCAAATATTCTAAAGACAATACCTCATAAAAATGGTAATAATAGTATCCAAGATCAATTAACTAATGAAAACTTTAATAAAGAAATGAATCAATTAAATGAACGTATCAATAATTTACTGAAGACTAGCCAGTCATCATCTGCATTACTTTCTAGTAATATTCAGCATAAAGACAATCAGGTTGAGAGCACTTCTGTTCCAAAACTGAAAGCAAACATTCGTCTACCTTCAGAATCAATCAATAATGATCAAATTTGTTTTATTGATATAATTATTGAATTTCCTAAAAAATATTCTAGGAAACAATTTACATATGTTCACCTTTTAACTTATTCCTGTCCACCAGTTGTAATCAATCCTAATTATATTGAAATTTCAAATCCGCGCAAAAATCACGATTTTGTTTTAATGAATCAAATGCCTAATTCACATAGACATTTGTACACGATAACATGTAACATTGGAGACATTGATCATACGAATAATAATAATGATGATGATAACGATGAAGCAGATGAGTATGCAAGGAGGTCATTTCAACCTCCATTAGATATGGTTGTGATATTAATGCTTTATTATACTTTTACATACACGAAGACAGATCACAATGGTAATAATACTAATAATAATGATAGCATCAGCGTTTCTGGTGATACTTCATCTGTCTCCACTCATTCCATCTCAAAATGTTTAAAACGGTGTATAAAAATCCCTTTAAATTTATGTACAACTTCTAATATTGTAGATAAACGTCAAGTGGAGGGAAGATTTTCACTTTATTTTCAATTATTAACAAAGTTTAATAATAATAAGGATTCAAAGAATATACATCTACCAAATTTATTTCCAAATTTATGGTCAAAACTTTATACTACTGATTTAAATGATAGTAGTAATGTGAAGAGCAAGAAAAATAATACAGTAATGCGTGTTTCATTTTGTGGGTTTAAAAACCCCGTTAAACTTGATTATTGTGCATATATTTCGCTAAATTGCAAAAAATCTCTACTTAAACTACAGAGTAATTATTCTGAGATATTTTGGCCAATTCTGCAAGAATTAATATACTACAATACCTTTACAAAGAAGCCTAAAAATGATTGTTTGAATGGTGGCAGTAATTTTTTCTCTGATAACGATTATCTGCATATCGTATTGTATAAGAAAAATTCCCCAGAAGGTATGAACAAACATCGTATTCCTGAAAGATCATCCTTGTTAGTATTCAACGAGTATGCTGCTCAGATTGAACCACTCTTTAATCAATTATCTGTCAATCTAGAGGATCATATCAATAAACGGGTAGAATTAGTTCAGGCGATCGTTAAACTTACTGTACACAGCAAACACTTTCATACTGTACAAGGAGAAGTTATGAACAGGATCAAGAATAGTCTGCCAAATTGTTTAAATGGATTTGACTTATTACTGAAGAGGGATTTAACTAATTTATTGAATATTTGTGATTTACTTGAACACCTAACAGGGGAACATTTTCAGTCTGGTATCTCTGTTATATCGTTGATTGTTTTATTAAGTTTTCTGTGTTTATTTTGCATAGACTCATCTCCTCAAACTGGGTCATCTTGTTTTCCTTTAAGCTGTAATTTATCAAATGTAGAGAATTATTTAACTGTGTTGGAGCCAGCCAGTTTGGTCAGTCTGTTGAATTCAACTGTACTCTTAGAAAATATTCGAGGTACAGAATTACCATCTGAAAAGCTTTCAACTACTGAAATGTTGTGTTCAGGAAACTTTCATTTAGGACTTGAAGAGTATTTACAGGCAAAAATCAATTACCTTTTAGAAATTATCCAACTCAAGGATAAAACTGTCAATGATGAGATCAAGATGTCTCCGATAGACGGAGGAGGACAACAGCGGCAGTTAGGTGATAATTCATTGTCCGTTGTTAAATCTGTTCATGAACAATTTTATCAACTTTGTAAATGTTTTACTTCTTGTAATTATAAAGATATAATTCTGTATTCCTCTGATCAATGACGTTAAAAACTAGTGATTTTTCTAAAATAAATCAGTTTGTTTTGTTTGAATGAGACATCTTTATTTCACAGAGGATTAATGATCATGCCTAACTGAAATGAATGCATGTACATATGACTTAGACCTGTCTCAATTGACAGCAATTAAAAATACCTCATGGATGATTATTTTCCCAAGTTGATTGTTCTGTTTTAGGTTTTTCTAATCTACCTTTTTTTCACTGTGTGCAGTCTTTCACTATTTTGTCGTCTTCCGTTTAAAGAATATTATGTACAATTTCCTACTACCTATATTCTTCACACATTCATCTTGATCCCATCAAATCTATCATCTTTTCTATTTCCAATATTGTTCCCATAAACAAATGACAAAAAATAAACGCATTATAGTATTATTACTTGACATTCCACTTACTCGCAATTCTAAACAACAATCAGAATTCAAAATATCTCCTACAAAACCTTTCCAGACCCAGATAAAAAAATTATTCACCCGGATTCACCAAGCCATCCATGTAGCCGACCACTAGATTGTTCACTCAGCTGATGGTGATGACTGCACACTTCAGCTTACTCCAGTCGACGCCAACTAGTCAGCATGTTGTGTAAAGACCGATGGAAGTCTGCATGAATGACAGCCACTGTCGTCGAGACTACACCGACCTGTGTGGAGATGGTCTTCCGAAGTGGACTGAGTCATGAATAGCAGGTGGATGGAGTTCTCATGCGAACCGAGAAACGGAGGTCATAGTCACACAGTGATTAGGGAGATTTTGAGGGCGATGAATTGCAGGAAGTGATTATTTGATTGTAGAGGTGAGCAGTGCACACACATTGTCATGGTGATGTAGAATATGAATAAGATGAATAAGAAGGCGGAGAATGTGTTGGTGCTGTGGATGAGATTGAGGATTGCGTTGATTGTGTTTGTCAGTTGTATATCTGTTGTGGCGTTGTGACCGGTTTTGTTGGTGACTGGTTGTGGACACTGGTGATTGGCTGTGCCTGGCTGCCAGACTGACTGACCGACTGACTGGCAGAATGACTGGCCTAATCGACAGGTGATGTATTGTGCGCTGATGATGTGATTATACGTGAGACGTGTGTATGTCGATGTGCTGATGATTGGTTGACGAGTGCTGCTGTATGGTTGTTTTTGAGTTTGTATTTGTGTTGAGTGAGTGTGTAGGTGTGTTCAACAGGTGTTCGTGCGTTCGTGTGTGTATTTGTTTGTTTGTGTTTGTGGTTGATTTTGCGAGTTGCCTTTTGGTTGTGAATGTGTGTGTCAACCGGTTGGGCTGGGATGGCCGAGTGGTTAAGGCGGTGGACTTAAGATCCCCTGGGGTGTATCCCCGCGTGGGTTCGAACCCCACTCCCAGCAGGCGGCTTTTGGAACCATACACACGCTACACTCACATCGGCCAACACTCCTCTCCCTCCCACACTGAAAAACATGCACACTAACAGGTGTCGTGCGTGCGTGGACACACGTACATCCGTGTCTGTGTCACATTGACAAGTGGCGTGTGAGTTGTCATGCCGAATGAATAGTCGGTTGTCGTCTCGTGTCCTCTGGTCTAATCTGCTCACTGTGAATTGTGGTGTTGGTGTGTTGGTGGGAGTTTCGTGGAGCGGCGTGTAGGCTGGTCAATGTGCCACTCCATTTGTAGTCTGGTTGCTGGGTGTCAATTGACTCAGCTGGATGGTTGATTAGTCGGTGGATTGATCCACTGATTGCTATAGTTGGCCTAATGCATTTATACTCAATGTCAGTCCCGTCAAGCTCCTCACTGTGTGCATATGTGTGTTTGTGTGTTGTGCATGTCTATGAATGTGTCCGTGTGTGTGTGTGTGTTGGTGTGTGTCCATGTGTGTGTGTGAACGAGCGTCCACGTGTCTGTAATTTGATGATTGTTGTTTCGTGTGTGTTCAGTGTCTGTCTGCTTGTCTGTCAGTTGAGTCTACAAATCGAAGTGTTACGACACTCCGTCTGATCACCGCCGACCATAAGATTACTGACGGTGTCGTGGTGGTGGCGATTGGTAGCGGATTTGCTCCCACCGACTGAGCGAGTGCAGCAGAGCAGGTCGACTCATCACCACAACGTGTCGCTTGATGATGATGATGATGATGGTGTGAGGTGTGACAAGCGGTGTGGGATAAGAGTCCTCTTCCACCTGATCGCTCGCACACATTCAGCTCGTCATAAAGTAGTAGTCGACCACTGGGTTGGTTGTTCACTCAGCTGATGGTGATGACTGCACACTTCAGCTTACTCCAGTCGACGCCAACTAGTCAGCATGTTGTGTAAAGACCGATGGAAGTCTGCATGAATGACAGCCACTGTCGTCGAGACTACACCGACCTGTGTGGAGATGGTCTTCCGAAGTGGACTGAGTCATGAATAGCAGGTGGATGGAGTTCTCATGCGAACCGAGAAACGGAGGTCATAGTCACACAGTGATTAGGGAGATTTTGAGGGCGATGAATTGCAGGAAGTGATTATTTGATTGTAGAGGTGAGCAGTGCACACACATTGTCATGGTGATGTAGAATATGAATAAGATGAATAAGAAGGCGGAGAATGTGTTGGTGCTGTGGATGAGATTGAGGATTGCGTTGATTGTGTTTGTCAGTTGTATATCTGTTGTGGCGTTGTGACCGGTTTTGTTGGTGACTGGTTGTGGACACTGGTGATTGGCTGACTGCCTGGCTGCCAGACTGACTGACCGACTGACTGGCAGAATGACTGGCCTAATCGACAGGTGATGTATTGTGCGCTGATGATGTGATTATACGTGAGACGTGTGTATGTCGATGTGCTGATGATTGGTTGACGAGTGCTGCTGTATGGTTGTTTTTGAGTTTGTATTTGTGTTGAGTGAGTGTGTAGGTGTGTTCAACAGGTGTTCGTGCGTTCGTGTGTGTATTTGTTTGTTTGTGTTTGTGGTTGATTTTGCGAGTTGCCTTTTGGTTGTGAATGTGTGTGTCAACCGGTTGGGCTGGGATGGCCGAGTGGTTAAGGCGGTGGACTTAAGATCCCCTGGGGTGTATCCCCGCGTGGGTTCGAACCCCACTCCCAGCAGGCGGCTTTTGGAACCATACACACGCTACACTCACATCGGCCAACACTCCTCTCCCTCCCACACTGAAAAACATGCACACTAACAGGTGTCGTGCGTGCGTGGACACACGTACATCCGTGTCTGTGTCACATTGACAAGTGGCGTGTGAGTTGTCATGCCGAATGAATAGTCGGTTGTCGTCTCGTGTCCTCTGGTCTAATCTGCTCACTGTGAATTGTGGTGTTGGTGTGTTGGTGGGAGTTTCGTGGAGCGGTCTTTTTCGGACTAGCTTTCAATTGCTTTTTTTTGGTTTTGATTTCTTTTTGTGGGTTATTTTTTTGCTTCTTTATCTGTATATTTATGTTTGTTTGTTTTTTATTTATTCCTTTTTTTTGTTTTTGTGTTTCTCGTTTTAACCTGATGATCGTGCTTTCTAATCCCATTAGGTGCGTACTGCCCATGATTCCCGAACTAGGATCAAACGGCAGTTGTCCAGAACTCAGTTGTTTTGCAGTTGTTCTCTAACTGATATCAATCCGTGATGAACTCGAAAGAACATATGCAACCCTTACAAACCAAACTATAGAAAGTATCGTTGATGTTAGTTGTTTTTTTTAAACATAAATTTGATGAGTATTCATTGAAGCAATCAACACACATTGAACGTAACACTTTCCCCAACAGATGAATTATGATTACATTTGTTTAAATGAATCTTAACTCTTCAGTCGTACATCACCCGTCTCCTTACTCTACATTATGCTTATTTCCATATTACGGATTCTTGTTCAAGTGGGTTTTAGTTGCGTAGAACATAAATTTTATTACTTTGTAACTTTTCATTTTGTACACAATGATCGTTCTCTGATTGGATATTAAGAAGACTTCGCTACTCTACGTACTGTTGCATTCCTAGGTCCTTGTGTTCTTCTGTGAGACCTTTCAGGAAAAATAACAAATTTATTCAAGCCCAGTATACCCATGTATTAAGTTGAAATCTTCACTATTTTATGGATGTAAATTTCTTGTATATTTACATACTACTTGCAAACAGCTTAGGTGATATTGCGAAATAATTATGACTGGTTAACTAACATATAATAATGAATGTTTCACTGTAATAGGCGGCGACGCCTAATGTAGAAATCATAATTTAGAAGTGGATTCTATCCAGCAAGCTTACTTCAGCTAACGAAATCATGAAATTGTTTCCTTTCTTTCACATGACTTATGGTGATAACTTTTTTGGTGCTTACGAGGAACTTAATGACAGAGTAAAAATAATACCACGCGCATTGGTTTTGTAGGCATTTTGTTTAATTGGTTGGAGGATTTCATTATGAGCTGACACCAGTTAGAGAACCATTGAAAAAGATTTTGATTTGGTGATTGAAATTTTCCAACAAATAAAATAGAAAAAAAAATAGATTATCAAACTGATGATAAGATGATGACTACCATTCACTTCAGATTCCACTTTTCAGACCATTAAGTTTAAATTAGAAGTAGTTTCTGTGGTTGGTGACTTGCAGCGGGATCCAGGATGCTTATCAGTCTCATGCACCAGTATTCCTCGGCGAATTATGGTGTTACTACACAGACTCTATCCCTCTACGCATCAGATTCAAAAGCCAGACTGTTACCCCCCCCCCCCAGATCACTTGGACCACGGAAACCACTTCTTAAGCAATGATCACCAGTTATTACATGGTTTTAATCCAGTTTTGATTCTGCTGTTCACTGATTAGGCCAAAATGTCTGATGTCTAATGCCATTCCTGCTCCTAGTACAGACTCTGTGACGAGGTCTCAGGATTAACTTGAAGTAGTTTGGCGGCTGGTGACTAGCAGTGGAATTCAGGATGTTAGTTTCGTCCTGATTGAGATGATGGGTACTAGGTTCTAGTCTATATGGGAACACCATCGCTCACTGGGGAATGCAGGCTCATCTAACTGACAAGTCCCAAATAGAACGAAATGCACACCTAGATTCAACCGCTAGACACCATCCATTAAACCACTTAAATTTAATCTTCAGACATCGTCGAAGCATTCGTACTTAGAGCCGATATGTCAACAGAAGCCGGTCATCTCAGTTCAATCAATCAACGGGAAAGTCAAAATTGAATTGGAAGGTTTAGATTAGGCTATGATAATCCAAGGTGATCATTCTGGTTTTGACGATTTTACAGATCCGCATAGCATACTTCATAAAGTTTTGATTATAAATGACTGATTAGTGAATAAAGGATATTCTTGATTGGACACTAGTAAATAGTGTGATGTGTCTAGCCCTTTCTTTGGTGCAGACTGAATTCTGTCAGTCAAGTTTG